GGGGGGGGGGGGGGGGGGGGAAGGAGCAGCTCCAGATGGTCCCTGCCTGCTTCTGACACTTGAGTTCCCACTAGGGGCTTTGCCATGCTGTTCCCCTTGCTCAGATATCGGGCATTGGAGCTAAGTGCAGGGAGCACTGCCCCAGTTTGCTTCCTCTTGCTCTTCCACCATTCAGCTGAAGAAATGCCACTGTGGCCAGGAGTCAAGCCTGCAAACATGTCTCATCTGTGCCTGCTTCCTTGCCTCTCCGTGCTGCTCTGCTGAGTGGCAGGGGCAATGATTTAAAACCTGGTGGAGCTGGAAACTAGGTTTGTGGAGGCCTACCCCAAGCCCAACTTCCAGCCCTACTGGCTTACCCTTGTTGCCCCCATTGCTCAGCTGGGCGGTGGGGGGCAGTGATTTAAAAGCTGAAGGGTGTGGGAACCAGGTTTTGGAGCCTGGCCTGGGAGCTGGGCTTGCGGAGGTTTTCCCCAAACTTGGCTCTCAGGCTATAGTTAAAGACTCAGGCTTCTAGTCTGGGAAGGAAGTGAAGCCTGTAACATCTGTTCAGATTGTGTTATGTTTTCAGTTATCAGTTTAAAACACTGTCTGAACCTATCACTAAAGCAGTAAAAGACAAAAAGCCTGTTCTAAGGTAGCCCCATCATTCGGATCTTTCAAGCATGTCCACTGTTTTCCAAGATGTTGTTGGTTTCATTGGGAGTTAAAGATGCTGAGAATTTCTCAGGATTCAGCTAGCAGATAATTCCTATTTAATATTTGGCTATTTAGATTGTGAACTTGTCAAGGCAGAGATCACTCTGTCTTTATCTTTCTCCCTTGCTTTTGCCTTGTTGAAGGAAGAACATACAAAATAGCAAATTGGTGTTTTCTACATTATAATCCATTAGTTGCATTTACTATAAAGATCTTGGTCCTGAACTGCTGAAGGCAATGAGAGTTTTAATACTGATTTCATTCAGAGCAGAATCAAGATAAAATGCTATATGGTAAATCAAACGGTAAACAAGGAGAAAAACTGAATTTTCAGTAAACTTTTGGTATTGCATCAACAGCAAGTTAAATATTCCTGATTAAAAGGTAACTTTTGAGCTGATAGTATCTCCTTTAAGAAGTGATTATCACTGCAAGATAAAAATGGTACTGTTTTTTTTCCGTAAGTGGAATATTTGATAAATGTGATAGTGAAAGAAGCTTTTATTTTAGATTGTGAAGGGGAAATATCTCAACCATTGCAAAGTCTAGAAGCCAGCTTTAGCATCTTAATTACTTTTGGAATAAGCTACATTGCTGCTTGTTGTAGGGAAATCAACTTCAGCTAAAACAGACTGAAATCTTGGCATAATCTATAAGCAAGTCTCAACTCTTTTTTGTACAGTAAAGTCCCAAGTGTGAGAGCTGAGTGTTTAACCTCTTCCACACTAGCAAACATATAGTCAGTCCATCATTGTTTTCATCTAATGTTACAGTTTTTTAAACAGAGAGAGCTACCTGAGTTAGTAGGAATTAGAATACAGTCGCATATTTGCTAATACACATACATAATGTATTTTCTTCTAATCAGTAAAATAAGGGGGGGGGGGTTCACCCTATGAAAGTAAGTGACAGTACAGGCTTTTGTTTATGGTGAGACTCTGTACCAGGTATCTTGCAGTTCCTAAACACAGTTGGTAACGCGCATCATCATGTAGTAGATGTTTGACAAGTGCTATTCTATATTACACAAGACAGGTATTCTTCTGGTGTAACTTAACATTTGTATTCTGATCTTTTTTTCTTTTGTAAAATATTTTTGCTATTACAGTTGTCCACGTGAGTTTTCATGTGTAGTTGAAGATACCTGATGTTGCTCTAACTCTCCAGTTTTTAGTTTGCAGAGAGCTGGATGGGCTACTCTGGCCCAGGATATGGAATACTCAGCCTCGTTGTCTCAGAGAAATACGTTTGGTGCCTGGACTACAAGGGTAGCCTGTTCTGCAGTGCTCTGCCTAGTGCAGGTATACGATGGCAAAAGTTTGAAGATGCTGTCCAGCAGGTGGCAGTCTCACCTTCAGGTCTGGTAGCTTGTTTTTTACTTTGTTGACCCACTTTTAAAATCAAAATATATGTATTTGTGCAAGTTATTGTGCTGTTTTTCATACTGGTATGTAGCCGCATGTAGTTTGGGTTCCCTCTCATATTTTGTTATCCAGATTACAGGTAACTTGCAGGTTGGCTATTGATAAAACAGGCAGAAACAGGTCCACAGCCCAAACTTTTATTGCACTTCAGAATACAAAAACAAATATTTATCCTAAAGTCTATCTGGCTACCTGTGACGGTACAACATAGATTCTCACATATACCAGCTGGGGAGACTCGAGAGGTAGGAGGAGGGTGGCACATAGATTGGCATCAGGTCGTCTTGAATTTATTGAGTTCTCCAAATTTCCCCCGAGCCTATACCCTATATTTTTAGATGGCTGGTTCTAATATCCTAATAAATGACCTCTGATTGGTTTTATTTAAATTTCTTTGTTTCACCTAAACTTTTGGAACAGTTCTGAACTAGTTTTCTTTTAGGCATGAAACGTATCAATAGTTCGGATTTATGTCCTGTGAAAATTGTACTTCTGGAGGGAAGGATTCTCATTCCTTTCCGTCACCATTATGGAATACTGCTTGCCCTTATCCTTTCATTCCCTTCCCCAAAATGTATAGTCTTGGAAAATGAGGCTGCGCTTTTTTTTTTTTTTTTAATAACTTATCTAGAACTTAACAACAATATATCTATTATAGCAAAACAGTAGGTAATACATTTGGTTACATCGATTACTATAAGTAAAGACTGTGGTATAGTATATTTGATTACCTAATGTATAGTCTTCTCTTACGATGCCTTCTGCTAGGCCTTATACTCTTTAATTGTATCTCATTACTGGTATAGTTAGACATCTTGACAGCTTCCTTTACTTTGCTGACCAAGCGAGTCACATCTGCAGAGGTTCACTTTGTAGTCGCTCTGATGCAGGCTTTGGGGCCTTCTGCTTAGCCACACTTCTGCAGCTTGGCCTAGGCCCCTTGATATAGTGGCCAAGACTGCAGTAGTCTGAGCACTTCAAGTAATAGTGCTTAAGCATTGATCAGTGCCTGTAGTTCAGTAGTATGTTTCACAATGCCTAGGGTTTCCTTAATTTATTTGGAACAGCTTTCTCTTGCAAATTGTGAAAATACCATGTTGGGTGTAGTGGCTTCATGCCTGAACACTTAGGTATGGTGCTGTTCCCAAATGCCAAGATTTGGATTTGCTTGAGCAGCTTCGTGCAGACAGATCCTCCAAGCTGACCTGTTGAGTCTTTTTTTTTTTGTATATATGAGAAGACTTCATCTTTTATAATTGTGATATCAATACAGACTCTCTTCAGAACAGAAAAGTTCCTACTCATAAGGAGGAATTCCTCATTAAAAAGACCAAGCCAAACCACAATTGCTTGCTTGCAGTGGTAATGCTAAAAGCAAATAAACATGTTGCACACTTATTCTGTGCTACGAGTTGTGAGTTTTTTAGCTGACAGCTGTCATGATAGTCACATTGTTGGTTTCCATATCACTTTGTAGATATGGAAACCATACTTGTAGAAGTAACAAGTGCATTTCAGAAGCTAGTATTGAAACCAGCTGTAAATTCGACCCGTAATACCAGTTAGATTTGGAATTAATATACTCTGGCATTAAAAAAATACAGGTACAGAGAACAAGTTGCATTAAAGTATTTTAAGAAAGAACTACCCTGCTAACATATATGGTTCAGCAACTCTTAGTAGAGTTGGAAATTGTCTCCCATTTAACAATGTAAAAGTAACAAGGATTTGCAAAATCTTGCACTTTTGATTATAGACTGGCATTGCCTGTTGTTCCGCAGGGTTGGGTCCCTGCCATGCCTGAAGTTTCAGGGGCATGATCCTGTGGGACAACACTCTGGGTGCACCTTTGCAAAATGAGAAACCCTGCATTTCCCTGCTTGCAGAGTCATGCCTGGGGATTCCCTAGGTGGGCCTCTGCAAGCTGGGAAACCTGAGGTTTTCCCATTTTGCAGAGGTGAGTCCCACACTGGAATCTCCAGGTGTGCCTTTGCAAGCAGGAAAATCCAGGGTTCCTCTCTTACAGAAGTGTGCCTGCTGATTCTGATGTTGAGGGCACCTCTGCAAACAGAAAAACCAAGGCAGGTGCTCCCAGGGCTCTGCTGTAGGGAAATCCCAGGGCATGCGGAATTGAGACCTTGAAGTCCTGGCAGCTTTGGGCTGCCCATACTCTCCCACCCTAAAACAAACACATTTTTATTACTTTTTGTCACGGCCACAAATTTGGGTATTTGCAACATGATAAAAGGCATGGATATCTGTACTTTTCCTTTATGCTGCCCTAAAAAATTATTGCGGTGCCACAAAGGCAATGTCTGTTTGCAGCCTTTGTTAACACTGCTGCTTATTTATGTCTGACACCTGTTTTGTTTCTTGCACAATCAGTGTTTAGTACTTTTGTTTGCCCACTCTTGTGTTTGTTTTATGACTTCTACAGGAGCTCTCCTCTGGAAGATTGAACAGAAAACTAATAAGGCCTTTGCTTGTGGAAAAGTAACCATAAAAGGAAAGCGCCATTGGTATGAAGCTTTACCTCAGGCTGTCTTTGTAGCTTTAAGTGATGACACTGCCTGGATTATCAGAACTAATGGAGATCTATATCTGCAAACAGGTACCGAAATTAACTGTTGCCCTTCCCTTTTTGTATGTGAGAATCAGAAAAATGTAGTTCTATTAAATGAACCTGAGTTGATTAAACCATTATATGAATTCAGAGTAAAACTTTTCTTTGTGCAGGCAGAGAGAGCTCCTTTGGCTTGAGACTTGGAATCAGTTGTGCGATGTTGCAGCAGAAGCTGCAAAAACATTGTTCATGTTACTGGAACTCTAGATCAGGACCCTGTTGTGCTTCACAGAGGGACCAAAAAGATTGGCCTTGCCTCTAATTGTGAGAAACTTAACAATAAAGCAAGACTGACAGAAAGACTAGGAAATAGTGCCGTGATGGGTAACCTGTTAGGCCGCTGTTTGAGCACACCAACGGCCTGACCATTGTCAAATCTTTTTTTGTAGGCCTCTGGACAAAGAGTGTTAAGGAGGGTTTTGAAAGAAGATAATAAGATAGCTTTATGAATGTTTGTAGGGAGTTCTTCCCAAGTGTGAGGGGACCCATGGGAGAAAGCATGAAGGTTGTTGGAAAAATTAACTAGTGGGTCTGCTGAGGTAAGAATCAACCTTTTGACAATGGATGCCAGACAACAGGTGGGATGGGGTGAGGTTTGTATTTATGATAAGGAAGGTGGAAAAATGCCCTGAAGAGGAGTGTTATGGCCAGAATAAACCAGTTGAAGAATCTTTGCACCAGCTTTCTGAATGGAAGTGTGTGAGCTAGTTTGCATTCAGTAATGTCAGAGGAAAGATTTTTACCATATTTACTTGAATCCAGAGCCGGGTTTTCTCCCCATTCAACGTGGTGGCAGGGAGCCTTCCTCTTGAATTCAGGTACAAGGTTGGGGGGCAGGTGGCTGCTGGGACTCTGCTTCAGGCCCTCAGCCTGGGTCAGGCTGAAGTTGGAGATGCAGTGGCTGCCTGCTCCCTCCCTCCCGTGCCTTTGCCAGCTTACCACGTGGATGTCCCAGGACTGGGGTGCTGCTGCTGCTGCAACCACTGGTGTGTGGCTGGGCTGTGGTCAGAGCTACCCTGTGCTTCATGCCCCAGGCTGGAATGGGGCTGGAGCCACAACTGACAGTAAGTGGTGGGAACGGGGGCACAGGCATGGAGGGGGCAAGCACAGTGGGGAGGTGGTAGGGGTTACAGGCACTGTGGAGGGGGGCAAGTGGCAGGGGTTATAAATGAGCAAATGGCAGAGGTCAGGGTGCCTGTCCTCCCTGCCACTGTTTTCTGTGTTGGAGCAGCGGGGGAGATGAATTTAAGATGTCCCTTTAATAATTATAATTTTCCACATACAGAATCTAATAAATTTCATAGTTTCATAGATGCTAGGGTTGGAAGGGACCTCAACAGATCATCGAGTCTGACCCCCTGCCTAAGCAGGAAAGAGTGCTGGGGTCAGATGATCCCAGCCAGATGCCTGTCCAATTTATCAATGTTCCATGTTCTGTGGAACATAATTCCATAGAATCTAATTATTGGGGGGAGGTTGTTTTGAATTTGAAATCATCTTGGATTCAGGTAAATATGGTACATTGAGCTAGAAGATGAAGCAGGATGACAGTTTTGCATGTACGGCTGGAGAGGAAACACTGACTCTTAGATATGACACAGAAATACTCTGCCAAGTTCAGACAAAATCTGTATGTAGGTAAGTAGAAAGAGTATAGAGTCTATGATGATACTCAGGTTCTGGGGCTGAGTGCCTGGGAGGAAGGTGCCGGTGATGGCATCCACTTAACAGAGAAGAGATAGCAGGTGGGATGTGGGATTAGGATTTACTAGCCCTGTTGGGCTACAAATAAAGATGATCTGTTCAGGAAAAGATACTGGAGACACAGGCTAAAATTTTAGTTTGGACACGAGATCCTTTTGGAGTGGAGAAGTAGATCTGTGGGTCATCTGTCTAGTCATGGCGACTACATTTGTGTATGCCAGTGAGATTATCCAGAGATGAGGTGTGGATAGAAGAGAAGACAACTGAGGACTTGCAGAACTCTTACAGAAAGTTCAGGGGGTGAAGAGGATCCTATTAAGGAAATGCTAAATGAATGATGAGAAGGAGAAAAAAACAGCATAGGAGGTTGGAATTTCAGTAGCCAAGGGAGGACAAGATTTCAGAATGGCTATCAAAGATCTGCTTGTTCTGCACTTCTGATAGGCCATATTCTCTGTGTGATTATTTCTTCATTTAGATATAATAACAACAGTATTCATTGTTGTGTATTTATATTTAAATTACAATCTATTTTTTTATAATGGTTTAACTTGAACTCAGATGCATAGCATATTTTCATGGGTGTCCTGTTTTTAGATTCAATTTTTAATAAAGTTGATTAGTTGCTAAGAAATCAAGTAACTTGTTCAAGGTCATGAGTTGTTACTCAGCAGTGATGCTAACAATGATAAAAAGGGAATTTGATTCTGCAGGCTAAGAACTGTATGGGATTCTGGATCAAACTTTTCCTCTTCTGCCAAAGGTTAATTTGATTGTATCATCTTACATTCTGTCATCTTTGGAATTTATATACTAATTTAGAAACCAAAATTAAACCTTCAATGTATGTGTTTTCCATGGATGGATTAAGAAATATTCCTTCAGTACCTCCAGCACCCCAGCAAGCTTCTGCACTCACAATATGTTCCCCAAAATTAGAAGTTGGCTGCTACAGCTTCTTTTCAGTATCCTCAGACCATCCTAGTCCTGTTCTGCTCCTTTGTGTTTTAGAAACTTGCAGTAAAAAATTATTTATTTCTTGACCATTCACTTGAGTGCCTGCAGATCCCATTTTGGGTACAATTGTGTAGAAGAAAGTATATAATCTGAAGAAATGGGTGTGTGCTTAAATGCATACCATAATTTCCTAAAGTCTTACATATTGCAAGTACTTTCTCTTCCTTCTTCATCTGGTATGGGTGTCATGTATCTTTCTAAACTGAGATACCAGATGGTGCCACTAGAGGCAGGGCAGGAACAGAAATCAAGGGAGGAAAGCTCTGGGTTCTCCAAGAAGTTTAAGTGTAGGTTGAACTCTGCTACAGTAAAGTAGAAGTATAACTCATAGAGAAAGCAGTACATTGAGAATAAAAAAAAATGCTCATAGGCTTCTTAGACTTTTTTCCCTTTTTCTGCTCTAACTTTTTCTGATTATACCTCATAGTCTAGTTACAAACACCTGTACTTACTTTGTTGCATTTGCAGGCCTGAGCGTGGATCGTCCTTGTGCTAGAGCGGTAAAGGTGGATTGCCCCTATCCCCTATCTCAGATTACCTCAAGAAACAATGTAGTGTGGGCATTAACTGAACAGCGGGCACTGCTTTATAGAGAGGGAGTGAGCAGCTTCTGTCCTGAAGGCGAACAGTGGAAATGTGATATTATCAGGTAATGAAATGGTAGTTGGTCAGCATTTAATCAGAATAACAGAAATTGCACTATTATGTTGGAATTGGTAGATATTTCGTTGTATATTAATTTGACTTTTCATCTCTTATTTTAGAGCGTTTTGCATCTAAAGTGTAATCTTTGGGTTACCAATTTTTTCTTCAGTACATTTTGTTTCATTATACTTTTATCACAATTAATGGGTAGAAAAGGCACTGTGTTGTTTGTATTAAATACAGTTTGTTCCATTCATTCAGGCTACCACAGCTATTTCCCTTCTCCCTGCCCCCCCCCCGCCCTTTTTGGCTCTTCAGATATTTAATAATCTAATTTTTAAAAACACATATACGTCCATTTTTCTTAGTCAGTTGCTGACAGGAGTAGAAATAGTCAGATAGTGCTGGACCTACCAGTCACAAATTTATCGTTGGTCTGACTAGCCTGTTACAGTTTTCTGGTCTGTCCATAATTCTGGCTTTTAGTCTTATTATCAGATTGTTGCTTGCTGCTTTTTAATAATATCTTGAAAATTGTTGCATCCTGATTGTTGGCTTGTTATAAACGTAGGGGAAAATGTCTGCTATTGCATACATCAATACTATTTCATTTCCGTTCATAAAATATTGTAACATTAGCCTCGAACTTGTCCATTGTATTTGGTTTATGAAAAGTTTCAGGGAGGAATTGCCAGTTTAACTTTTTTATTGCAAAATGGTCCTTACAGCAATTTGTTTTCTTTGACATTGGAAGAATGGTTGGCTTCTACAGGAAGCTTTTATCATCAAGGTCAGTTTCTGTCCTAATTCTGTAGTCATATCCATTTCCAGATTATAGTGTCTGTGTTCTACCCATCCTAACTAGAACAGCAAGAAAGAATAAACTTATGAGATTGAATTTTAACATGTTTCGATGAAATAAATAGCTGCAGTTTTTTCCATTAAGAATGATTTCTAACTGTACAAACTTTAAGTTACTGGATAAATAAACTTGTTGAAAGGGCTGCATTGTATTTGTAAACTGGTAGTGTCATATGGAGATACTCTAAAGTGCTCTGGTTGTTGTAGGACTCCTTTCTGGAATCCTATTTTTTCAGGCAGATTGTACTCTGTGTGTGTTTATATATAAATATATAATCGCTTCTCTTTTTGCATTTGCAGTGAGATGCAAGCTTTGGAGCCAGTGTGTGTAACTCTTGGAGATCAGCAGACGTTATGGACTTTGGACATCCATGGAAATCTGTGGTTCCGAACTGGTGTGGTTTCAAAGAAACCACAAGGAGATGATGATCACTGGTGGCAAGTAGGCGCTACTTCAGCTTTCAGTAAATTCCATCTTTCCTGGGGTATATTTTTCTATTGGGCTTGTACTAGAAAACACCAAGAAATAATTGCTTGGCCTTTTACAAGCAGTTTTAATTCACCTGGACTCCAGCTGTGAAGACACTTTTTATTTAAGTCTGGTCCCAAAAGGATTAAAACACAATCCAGTCTTATTCAGAGTGAAATGGATTGGTTGCAGGGAAGTTCTCTTCTGTAAATTTAAACAAACAATTGTACAACAGGGCCACTTCCTTCCACCTAATCTAAGTTCCTGTGAACCACATGGGGCTGTTTCCTTCAGCCACAGGAGGCACTTTTCTGGCTCACACCAGTGACTAAGCATAGGATCTAATCCCTGACTGTTTTGTTTACAGACTTATTTCCTTTGACCTCTCTTTCCCCCCTGCACCTCCTTCCCCCCCATCTTCTTTGGCACGGACCCTTTCTGGGTAGTTTGATACCTGGTACTATAGATGGTCAAACAGCAGCTTGGAAGCTATGGCTCCCAGTTTAAAAACAGCTTCTGAAAACAATCATTTAGCAACAGATTATTTGAGCTGCTGCATTGCATGCAGGTTATTGACTCTGGACACGAGCATCTTGAAAGCTTTGTGTCTGGCTACTTTAGGCCATGCCAAGATTTTGATTTGCAGTTAAAAGATCAGGAAGTTCAGCTTCTCCTGCCTTATGCTGTATGCACATACAAACTTGTGTAAGAGCTGAGTAATTTAGCATGGCTCTGAGATGAGCCTTAATATTGTGAATACATTGTTTCCCTTTTGCTGTTCTTATTATAACATGAATCACTGCTGCCTCTTTTTTTATTTTTTAAGATGCCCCAGTGGCATTTTAGTTCTGTCCATCAAAGTTTGAACAAATAGCCCTTTCACTATAGGTCCAGAAAAGAGGATTCAAAAGGTACTTGCCCAAGCACAAGCAACTCAGTGTCAAAACAGACCTTGCTACCTGAGTCATGTGGCCCTCCATGTTTTGGGGAAACTAACTAAGGTCCACCTTCTCATCATCACACTTGAAGACAGCTGCAGGGGAGAAGAGAGAAGCTTTTTTAAAATTTTCTCTGACCATTTTCTGTAATAAAGGAGTTTCCAGTGCAACAGTCCCACAGCATAAAAATGCAAAGCAATTCCTGGAGATACTTTTATATAGGAAGCAGTTAATTGTTCCATGTTTGACTCTTGTTTCATAAGCAAAGCGTTTTAAATATTAAATCATCAAAACCCAGGAGAACTAAAACTGGAGTCTTTTTCCCTCATATGCTCGGAGAAATGTCAGCTGTTGTTCTTGAGACTTCTGTTCAGAAAGAGTGGGAGGGGGATCTTTTCTTGAAAGACTGCAGGTCATTTCCACTGTAAGTGATTGTCTGTAACATTTTTCTTCTAGGTGAGCATTACAGATTATGTAGTGTTTGACCAGTGCGGCTTGTTCCAGACGATAATCCAGGCAACGCAAACAGTGGCAACAGCAGCGCAGGTGCCAGTAGAGAAAGTAGCGGA